GCTGACACTGGCAAGGATGGGAATAACCCTGCAGAAAATGGAGATGCCAAAATAGACAGACCAGGCACAGAAAGCTGAAGGTGCTGGAGATGCCAAGTGAAGTGTGTGCATTTGTGATAACAGTGTACTTCTGGTGACTGTACGGTTTGAAATACTATTTTTTATCAAGTTTTATAAAAAATGCAGAATTTTGTTTTACTTTTTTTTTTTTAAAGCTATAACTGTTGTTAGCACACAGAACACTTCATTGTTGTTTTGTGGGGGGAAGGAGCATATGTCACTAGTAGAATGTCTCCAAAGCTGGATTGCTCTGGGGGAAGACACCTTTCCCTTCTAGTTTTGAGAGACTTCCTCTTTGTTCCCAAGAGGAAGGGATTCCCTGATGTTGGCACACATAGTCACCTTGGCACAAATGCCTTGTGGTATGGAAAAACTCAAACTCATCTGTATGTCCTCCTGTCCCTCTCTGCCATCGGCATAGACTTAATTCCCCTAAACTCAGATCTATTGGGACCTGATTCCCAACGGTTGGTTTTACCAGTGTGTGGGGCAATCTGGACTTTCCAGTGACGTCATTGAGAATAGTGTCCCTCAGAAGAGCAGCAGTCCCTTTTCTAGATTGCGGATCTTCAGATTAATAATTTTTGCCATTTTCCTTTCATTTCCTGAAAGTCAGGGTCGGCTTGTGAAAAGTTGTTAAACAACATGCTAAATATGCAATGTCAACCCTCACTCCAAACTTTCCCTATTCAGAGCATCAAATAGAGACTTCATTGGGTTTTATAGTGGCTTTCTGATTCTGGTAGTCCATTCAAGAAGGGAGTTTGAAAGTTGTTGTATACTGTTAATGATTGTCTGCCCATGTCCTGCCTGAAATACCATGATTGTTTATGAAAAGTATATTTAATAAGGCTGGATACAGTTTGGCTTGGAAAAAAAAAAACTATGATCCCAAATAAATTTTCCTCTTCTTACATTGAGTATGTCAGGCATTTTGTCACAGTGATGGAGAGCTAACAGTGGACCTGGCAGGTGACCTTTCTCAGCAGTGAGGACCCACTTTCCCCTCCAACCCCTCTGTTAGGTAATAGGATGCACATCCCACTTACCTGCCTGGAGACTTTGGGACTTGTCCACTAGCAAGGAGG